GCCGAAACACGTACGTACATCAGCGACAACGGACGCGAGATGGCATAATACGAGCTGCGACGATGTTGTCCTGATCCCACCTAGCCCCACCTGCCCCACTAGCCCACCGGCCGTCCCACAGCTCTAGCTGCCGGCCTCTGCACGTTGCGGGCAACGCCCCGGACATACTCTGGACGGGATCCGGGTATGGCCTTTAGGCGAAAATTTATTAGAGCGTAGGCAGTACCTAATCCAGACCCTAATTACTCATGGGCTTCTAGTTTGGCGTTGGGACGGGGGGCGAGGCCAACAATTAGCAACACCAGGTTTAGTCAAAAGTTTTATTTGGCCGGGTTGGGGGCAGCTCCACTTAATCTGAGCCAGGGGCTTGCGGGTTCAATGGTCAATGGTCCGACGCTTATCTTGAAACGTAAAAATGTTTCACTTTGAAAGCTGAAAGCAAGAAACTTCCGCACGAGCTGAGCCCAAACAATTAGCTAATGCACTGTGGAATTTACTTTGTCTGCAGCACAGTTTAAAAAGGCGGAAAGACGCCGTAGGCCATGCAAAACGATTCATCCTGGCAGGCAGCTCTCAACAATCCATCGGTATGGCAACGTTCGATAAGTGATTCATTTGATTGCTACTAACAACTAGCTTTGTATAATGTTACGTTACGTTATGGGACGTTACGTCAAATTATGTTAACTCATGTTACGTTATGTTACCTTATGTTATGTTACGGTAGGTCACGTTACGTTATGGAACGTAACGTCAAATTACGTTACGTCATGTTACGTTAAGGCACGTTACATTATGTTTTGTTATGTTATGTTACGTTACGTTAAGTTATGTTATGTAACGTTACGTTATGTTATGTTCCGGTACGTTACGTTACTTTGTGTTACGTTATGTCACGTTACGTTGTGTTACGTTATGTCACGTTACGTTGTGTTACGTTATGTCACGTTACGTCACGTTACGTCACGTTACGTTATGTTACGTTAATTCACATCACATTATACTACATTACGCTGGGTTAGACAACAGTTAGGTTAGGCTAACGTCTAACGTCATTTGATATGCTCATGCAATAGAGTTGCTGTTAACGTAACAGCTACTGTTAACTAACTGCTTGGCCGTTACGTTAACAATAGCTGTTAACTAACTGCTTGGCCGTTACGTTAACAATAGCTGTAACGTAAACAGTTACACGCATACATATATCAATTATTTACAGTTAATTTAATTTCTTTGAAACGTAGTTTTAGCAACAATTCGGAGCTGAAGAGAGGATGAGAGGAGGCGAGAGGTCGACGTAACCCTGAGCCATACACCTATTAAAATGTGCGGCCATTAAAAAGTTGTTCTATGGCCCGGGCACTTGAAAAGGGAATTTTCTGTTTTTTGCAATCTGGCACCTGTGCAAGTGCAACTGAAAATACGTTTGCATATGAATTTTTCAAAATGTTTTTTGCGTTGACCTCGTTTACGGGTCAGAGAAGCTATGAAAAGTTTGCCGTACAAACTAAAATTGCCGTTGCAAGCGACCCAAGCGACTGAGGAACGAGGTGGGCTGCACCGTTACATTGCGTTGCGTTGCGTTGCGTTGGCTACGCCGGCTACGTCCCCCCGTCCCAAAAAGTGTAGAGATGGAAGCGATGAGCAGCTCGCAACGGGACACGGCTTGGGTTACATAGCATATTGAAATGCGATTACAGCAACCCTGGCGGGAACAGTAGCAGCATGTTCATTAAACATGCATAAACACACACACAAACACACACAGCATCAGCAGCAGCAATGGCACTGGCAGCGCCAGCTGTCCCCAGGCACATGTAAACAATTTAAATTTGCAAGCGATGTGCTAATTTTAAATCAATTATACGACGTGACGGCACTTTAATGCTAAGCCCAATTCCACAGTCTGCACACACACACACACACACAAACGCACACACGCATACGCATACACTCATACAGTGCCCTGTTTGACAGCTGCCAGTGCTGCCCATGAACAATGGCAACTAATATCGAAATCTGTGTACAAGGCAGCAGCCATGTTGGCAACATTTGGTGTGAAAACTTTCTATTTGCCTGTTCGGGAGCGGGGGCGTGCGAAGGAGTATTACTTTAAAAGTTGATGCCCAAAGCGTCCTTCCATTTATTTCAACAGCAGCGAACACAAGCAACAAACAGAGCAACAACGAAACGAAACAAAAAAAAAACAAGTCTCAAAAAAGTTTTTACTTTTGTTAGTGGTACATTTGGTGACACACAAATTGCAGCCTGAACTGCCGCCAGTGAATGAGAATCAGCAGCTTCTCAACTCAATTTCAGTTTGAAACCTCGCACACACACACAGAGGCACACACCATACACTTACCTCTACTGCCAGGCAGCCCAGCAGGAGAAAGCAACAGTTTTTTTTTCCTTTTTATTTGTCTTAAATAAATACGTTTGTGTGCATGCCAGTGTGTGCGTGAGCGTGTGTGTGTGTGTGTATCTTTCTTTATGGATGAAAGTTACGCCGCCAAGTAGAATAAATATATGTGCGTCTGTGTGTGTGTGTACTTACAATATATGTGCATGTATGTACATACATATGTACATAATTTAGTGAACTTGAAATTTGCGTTCGCACATACATATGTACAAGTGTACACATATATACACATATATATATATATATATATATATATATATGTGTGTGTGTGTAGTTTGCAATATTTATACAAAGTATATCGAATGTAAAAGAGCTGGCCGACATACTTGTCTTACACTTGTAACACCCTAAAAATAAGAGAACACGCCATTATGTATATATGTATGTGCATGTATGCTAAGTAATTTATATTTGTCGGTAGGTAGGTATGTGCATATAGCTTACCGGCACAGACATAAAAAGCTATACTTATATGTATGAGTGTGGGAGTGGGAACAGAAATACAACCGCACGCTGATGAAGGCGCACACAAACACACACACACACACACACACGTGTATATATTATTAAAGATTTAAAGTTTTTGCAACGAGGCAAGCAGGAAATTGATATGCACTTACCGGTCGCAGCAGCACCGGCAGCAGCATCAGCCATCTCAAAATATAAGAATAATAAAGAAGGTGCTATCTTAAAACTCCAAAAAAAAAATATATATATATCCATTTATAGTATAGTAATACACATACACACACACACACACACACACATCGAATATTATTTCAGTGAAATTGCCTTAGGTAAAGTTTGTTTTGGCAGCTGTTGTAAATTGAAAGATAATAATCAAGTTGAAAACAAAAGATGGCGGCATCTCGAGCAAAATGAAATAGGGAATTACTGTTACATAAATACTTACCTGCACATGCCAAACATAACAAAACAATATCGGAGCTATTGAAAAGAAGACGCTATTATTTGCTCATCAGTGTCAGTGCCCTTATCTAAGAGCATTCAAATTTTTGTTCCGTTTTATTCGATTTAGCCATTGTAAGAAATTGAAGTTTCTTTTTCTTGTCATTTTTAGGTCGTTTTTGAGCTGTAACTTTTTGACTGAGTGGCAACACTTTGTAGAGGCGAAAATTTTAAAATTATTGTATTTGTTGAGAATTAACTATTTATATATTTGCATAGAAGTTTCGAGATATAGAGCATATATTGCTTATTATTTGATAACTATATGCTATTTACCCCACTTAATTGAAATCTAGTCAAAAAATACTAGACTGTGAGTCGAGCTGTATATAGTAGTATTTGAATATTATTCGATGCTGTTCAGCGGCCAGCTGTTGTTATTTTGCTTGGCAGTGGACCTGTTGCGCGTTTCAGAACGATTTTAAAATTTTCGCTAACTGTGTGTTCTTCCTTGAACAGTACCACCAAATTGAGCTCGAACTCTGAAAGCAGGGAATACGTTATAATTGAAATTAGAATTAGAGAATAGGAGCTTACCAATTTTAAAGTTCTTGGTTAAGAGAGTGGGGCAGGTGAATAAACGTGGGAGTACCATATATATTGGAATTTCCAATTTGGGAATAACATTGCCATCTGCAATTTGTATAGTCTGCACTTCAGTGGCATCCTTGGAGTAACCCTCGTCACAACCACAAGTCTCCACACGTACTAGCTGCATTTCAATTGACTTTATCGGTGCCTCAGTATGTTGCACTGTTAAGCTGCCTGTTATAGGAGTCGTGACACACGATTCCACGCTATCCAAACGACCAGTGATCAGAAACCTGGGCATCGTCACACGTTCCTTGGCATTGCTCATGGTCAGGCTGAAGGGCACTGACCGAGTTGCCTCTTCGCCCAGCGGAACTGGCTTATATTGGATACAGAATTGTTGAACTTTCTGCAAAGATTTGCCTAGGAAATTGCGTTTCACATTCACATCGCATTTAAGCTGATAGTTGATGCTAATAAAGACGCCGTGATATGTTTCATATAGTCTACGCGGCTCCTTCTTGCAAACCAAAGGTAGTTCAAAATGAAATTCGGAGTTGCCGGCGCTTAGTTTACCCGGGGCAGAGAGCTCCAAACTATTCTGCAGCAAATTGATGGGCTTTACCGAGTTGTAGAAGGCATCGAAGAGTCCAACAGTTTTGCTACTTAGCTGCAGATTGACGACGCCATCGAGTGTGAGTAGTATCCCATCGTGCTTGGTTTCGGCCGGGCACTGGAACTGCACGCAGCCAACGAGCATTTCCTAGTTAATGAAAGTTAATTAGTTAAGTAATATTTTGGTATTGTTTACCTACGCACATTTTCATAATACACTTTGTTTTCACGTTTTAGCTTGATTTCAAAGTTAAAGGCATTTCCACTCATCTTGTAAATTAACTTAAATTAATTAAACGTCATTGATTACAACTTATGACGTTGTTTGTTTACATTCATTGTTGTAAATTTTATATTGCCAAAGAAAAGGTAATAATAATAAGGAATGTATCGATAGCAGTCACATGCAATCGATACTTTGGGTAAGTGAAGTCGGTGTTGCCATACTTATTCACTTTGCTCCGGCTTATTATTGTTACGCGAGCGCAAGGTGCCTGGAAAAGCTGTTGAGTCAAGTTTTCGTCTAATTATCAAATAAATTGCCTAAAATGTTGGCTTTACGCAATACACAAAAGCTTTCTATACGGCAAGTGATGCTTTAATAAAGACAACTTGTTAGGAAAAGCTTACAATCTCTATTATTTACAGTGCCTTGCTGCCGACTGCCTGCAAAAACGTGGGACACCTGAGCTACTCCAGCTCTTCCCAGTCAAAAGACGATGATGGTTCTTCTTCCTCGGATGATGAGAAGCGAACGAAGAAGCAGCGTAAACCTGAAGAGAAAAGCACAGAAACAGCGGCACAACGCTTAAATCGGTTATTGGGCACCATGCAAATGCAGACTACGGATCAACTGGCTGGCACGGACTTTCCTCGCCCCGGAGACGCTAATCGCAGACGGAGAGAGGCAATAAAACAAGATGCTGCAGCAAATAATGTTATTACAGCAGCTAAAAATATTGCCGGCATGTTGGGCACGAACGAGAATGATAAAAAGCAAACTGAATCCGAATTGCTGGCAAAGCTGCTGGGACACAGTGCGGAAGGAGGATCAGATACAAAGCCTGGCGATGACAAGGGCACTCCTGCAGCAGCCGGCGGTACAGAGAAGGAGCTGAACTTAAGGTGAGAGTGCTAAACATTTTTTCAATTAATGCTGAGAGCTTTTCGTTTTCTAGCGAACTGATTGTGGGCATGAAAATCGATCGTCGGCAACAGCCCCATCAGTCAGAGCCCACTCGAGGAGAGTATGTGCGTCGCACCCTGGCATCGCGCTCCAAGCCCATGACCGGAGATCTCACCTCACGTCGCCCGCAGCGACATGTTAAACGTGAGCCGGCAACCTTCTCGGGCAGCGTCAATTTGTATGGCGGCGAACCTTTGGGCATTTTCACTAAAGGCGATGCGAAACTTCAAGATTCGCCGGACATACTTTCCACGTGGTCTTTGCTTAACGAGCGCGAGTTGAAACTACATGCAGCACATCCACCAGCAAACTACTTTGAGCAGATGATCCAATGGACAAATCAAGGAAAAGTTTGGCGTTTTCCCATCGACAACGAGCAAGACATGCAGGAAGAGGCAGACGTTGATTTTTCGGAGCACATATTTCTAGAACAGCATTTGGAAGGTTGGTGTCCCAACAAGGGGCCCATACGTCACTTCATGGAGCTCGTGTGCGTAGGTCTCTCCAAGAATCCCTATGTGACGGCACAAGAGAAGAAGGATCATATTTTCTGGTTCCGCGATTACTTCGAAGCCAAAAAGGACATTCTAAAAGATCTAATGAGCAAGGAGAGCAGCGATAATGTTAATAAGATAACAGCTTAATTTGGATGGCGTGAAATATTTGTTAAAAATATATATTTATATTTTATTTCGCTTTATAAGACGATATATGCGCGTAAATATGTATAATGTATCCGAGTATACATAGCTAATCGTATGTATTCATTTGATCTAAGTAATACTTAATTTAAGGCCGACTCGCACGCTAATGTGCCCCGGGACTGTGCGCGGAATGTGTGCCAATAATAATGGATTATTGTATATTGTGCTTCAGAATAGCAAAATACGCTTCTCCACCGTTTTGCGGCAAATGGGGCAGCCCTCGATTTGATCGCCGCACATCTGGCAGGTGCCATGACCACAGAGAAACACCATATTCTTAATTCGATCAAAGCAAACTGGGCACATGGTCTGCAAGCATACAGATAGCATTAGCATAATGATGATGACAATATGTTGGTAGTTGACTGACCTGCTCCTTAATGTCCTGCAGCTGTTGCTTAAGCTTCTGAACATCGTCCATTTGGAAATTGTTGACTCCGCCTGTAGCAGTTGCGACGATGCCAGCTGGTAAATTCGTGAGATTTGCTGCTGCCGCAGCATTTAATAAATTGTTCTGGCTATTCAACTGATTGCTGCTGCCAGCCACTGGGGTGACCACCGTGTTGTTCATGGCCACGCTATGGCCGGAAGTGTTCACACATGGCGGTTCCACAAACTTCTCCTCGGGAGCAGTCAAGCAGACGGTGCCGGCCACGCAGACCTTATCGACTGGACCCGTACCGCCACAGCATAGATTATATGAAAGCATTTCATCGATCTGTGTGCGACACAGGACGCACTTCTTCATCAGCGCACTGCAGTGCTCACAGGCCACCATGTGACCGCAGGGACGAAAGAAGACGGCCGCACGTCTGTCTGAACAGACGACGCACTCGTCAATTTTCTCACGTGAGGCCACTGTCTCACGGCAGATGAGGCACTTCTTCACACGCGGTGCACATGTCTCACAGCAGCTCACATGGCCGCAGGGCTTGAAAACAGTGTCCCGCTTGGCATCCGAACAGACGAGGCACTCCTCCACGCTGGTGACCTTATTGTTGTTGTTGCTAATGCTGCCGACACAGTTGCCGCCTGCTGTAGTATTTTTGCTGCTGCTGCTGCTTTCCACGTGCAACGATTGCGCCATATCCTGACTGAGCCCGTTGATTCCGAAGGCGCTGCCCGAGGCAACAGTGTTAAGTGGTATATTTGCCGTGGCCGACTGATGCATACCAGCAGCAGTTCCAGCTGCCGCAGCGCTTTGAGCCCGTGCACGTGCGTTAAGACTCGTGCCAGCCACATTACCCGGCAGCTCGGCATCATCGGTTTTACGCTCGTTGTAGCACTTGAGAAGCGTCTTGCAGAGATTCGGATCTGGACACAGGTCCAGCGGTGTTTGCAACTTGCGATTCTTGAGCGTTAAGTCAGCCCCATTGGCCGCCAAAAAGCAGGCAATCGATGCGGATGCTTTTTTGTTATTCGCATTGCGCAGACCCATCAGCAACTTGCCGAAGCCTTCGACATCCTGCAGCTGCTTGAGCTGCGACAGTGTATGATGACGCAGTGCCTCATGCAGCGGCGTATCACCATCCTTATCGGCTATATTCAAATCGGCGCCATCCTGCACCAGCAGCTTAACAATCTGTACATGCTGCCGCTCAACGGCCAAATGCAGCGCCGTCTGCTGATTTACATTCTGTCTATCCATGTTCGCCTTGCCCATGTGAACCAACAATTCAGCTATTTCCACATGGTTGTTCAATGCAGCCAAATGCAAAGCCGTGTAGCCGTCATCCTTCTTCTCCTCGACAATCCAGGGTCGATTGGTCTTCGTTAATAATATCTTCATGGCGCTCGGATTGCCTTTAAGAGCGGCATGATGCAGCGCATTGAATCCATTGTTGTTGTTCAATGTGATGTCAGCCCCAAAATCCAGAAGCAACGACAGCATCTCATCATGCTCCTGCAGAAGAATATGACTTACATGAAAATCTATGCTTATATATGTCTATATAAAGATATGCTACCTTCGATATGGCGTCATGAAGAGGCGTATCGCCTTCGGAGTCCTGCAAACTGGGATGGCAGCCCAGCGTGAGCAGCGTCTTCACCACATTCAGATGCCCCTTGTTGACGGCAATGTGCAGTGATGTCTGGCGACGTTTATTGCGTGCATTTAGGTCGGCTCCAGCTTTTGCCAGAATTTCAATTACAGCTGCTTCATCGCCAAAGGCCGCATGGTGCACGGCACGATCGCCGTCCTTGTCCTCAATCTCCACATCTACTGAGTGCCGCAGGAGCACTTGGATCACCTCAATGTGCCCATTCTGGCTTGCAGCCTGCAACGCCGTGTGACCAGCAAACACACCGTTCACATTCACCTCCGGCACGGGGCCTCCGCTGGGACTACCCGCAGCTGCGGCAGCCGCTGCACTGGACGTCGAAGGCTGTGCAGCGCCAGCCAAATACTCCTCACAGCGAGACTGCAAAGGCAGAGCAAATATTAGGATATGTTAGCGAGAATAACAACCAGATAACTTACTGCAAATCCATTGGCTGCTGCCTTAACAAACTCTTCGGTGGCATCGCCGGACACATTGGGCTCGAAGAGTTTCTTGAGAATCGCAGAAAGGCGCTCGCCGCTGGGTATGACTGGAGCACAGTTGCCATCGGCCGTTGTTGCAACGCCAGTGCCGGCACCGCTGGTGGAAACCACCTTCGAGACTGCCAGTGGATTGTAGGTCCACGAGGTGTTGCCCACCTCCACCTTTAGGTCGTTATCATGATACACCTGTTGAACGCGTCCAATTTTACCAAGGGTCAATTGCATGGCATCGGCCCATTCACCATGACCACGTTGCAGTATCTTAATGCTCTCGACATCCGAACAAATCTTGACAATGTCGCCCACTTGAAACTCAGGTGGTGCAGTGGTTGGCGACGACACTTTGGTGAGCACAGCAGGATTAAAGGTCCAGCGATTTCCCGAATTGTAGGCAACAACTATGTCATGATCCTCATCGATGCCAACGACCATGCCCGCATTGCTTAAGCACTCGAACATGCCATCTGTCCATCCGCCGTGGCCATGCTGCAGCGATTGCACAATCTCCAGGTCCAGATCGACAGTGACCTTGTCGCCAATTTGAAATCCATGTGGCCCCTTACCAGGTCCATTCTCGCCCAGCAGCGGCAAATGATCTCGATAAACATTGCTGCCTTTGGCGTCGTTTACCACCTTAAGGTCCGCCATGCCTTCAAAGCCCACGCGATACAAATTCTTTGAGCCGTTATCCCAGATCACATAGGCTGCGGAGCGCGGCGATGCGGACGACCAGTCCTGAATCTCATTCACCTTACCGCGACGCCCAACACCGCCATCCTGATCCTCCCACTGCCAGTCCACGCCACGCACCACACGAGCGCCTGGAAAGATGCCGCGTACCAGCACCTTCTTGGATTTGCGACGCGGCTCAACCATGGTGCGCTCACCGCCCGGCGTGCTGATTCGATAGAAACGATGACGCAAATGATGCTTGTCGCCATGATAACAAATGGAGCACACATCGTAATTTATGCACTCGGCACACTTCCAGCGTATGCCGAAGATCGGCTGCTGCCTGCAAGTATCGCACATCGTGCCCTCATGCTTGACGCCCGTGGGAGCGCTGTCCAATATACGCAGATCATAGGCGCCGGCACAGCGATAATTGGCAGCGGTGCCATTGTCCCAGACAACGACCACTTCCTCGGCAGACTCAAAGTTGCGCACAGTGCCCACATGCCCCTCGCCGCCATCCTGCAAGAAAACAAACAATCGCAAATATTTAAACAGATCGCGCTTACGCCATACGCGATTCGACACGCTCGTCTCAACTCACGCTAATCACAACGCGAAAATTATAATTAAATCGCATTTGCCTGGTACCCCAAAAAGCTGCTCAATGTACCGCTGTGTTTACTCGACTAACTGTTAACTATTAAGGGTGCACTCAGTGCGTTTCCCAATCAATTCAACGATCTTCAAATCACACCCAAAAGCCACCTCATTCCAGGTCAACATCAATTAAAATAAATTCACAACAAATCAAAGCAAACTGATAAGCTATGAATGCGTACCTTAAATACCCTACTTAAATAGGTGATATGTAGCTTAAACGTTATTTAATTAAACATATATTTTTTTCTATTTGTTTGTTATTTAAATCATTTGCTATCAACAGGCCATTGAGCCCAAATTATAAAAAATATAATACCTCTTATCTTACGTACAACTCATACATTACGTATAACTCGCATTAATACACCTTAAAAATTTCCTCGTGAAAAAAACAAAAACAATTCGTACCAATTAAAATTGAACTCAATCACTGGTAGCTTTCAGACAATGCCCAAACAGCCCCAATGTCTCCCTCTCTCTCTTTCTATCTCTTTCACTCTGCGAGTTTGGTCTGTAACTAGTTATGGAAAATTGAGGGCCGCATTCGTTTGATTACATATGGGAAAATGAATTGGTAACATCGTAAGAATATAAGCCTCGACAGTTGGGTTAAAGGACAATCGCACGCTTAGCACTAATAATTATTCTCTTCCTATAAATCTTAACACACTATCTCACGGGTAGCTCACCTGCTTGTTCCATTTCCAATCCGGGCCACGAATCACACGCGCACCAACACCCTCCATGGAAAAGCGTCGAGCGACTGCCGCAGCTGAGCCAGCGCCGCTGCCACCGCTGCCGCCGCCACCGTTGCCCACACCCGCAGTTACAGTGCTGCCTCCGCTGACTACCACACCCACGGATGTGGCCGAGGATGAGGAACCACTCGCAGCAGCATTTGTTGAATCTTTGGCCGCTGATAAGGTTGCGGCACAAGACATTATCGCGTGTCTATGTGGTGGGTCCAGCAATTATTATTCTTTTCGATTTTCTTCACTTTTTCCTTGGGACACACACACAAAAAATGGCATGCAGATTTTAGTGAGTGCAAGCAGCGTTGCCAGCTAACAAGTTTCGCTGCTGGCACACAAGCAATTGCATTCCAATGCACACTGAATGCCCAACATACACGCAAACGCCACACAAAAGTAATCAATAAAAATAAACCATAGATACTTTTAATTAACTGACTATTAATACCAACGCAGTGAATTTTTTACCGAATTCGAGACTATAAAAATATAAAAGAAATGGTGTAAAGCGTTTAATAAAATAGTGACTACTGCTCGACAGTTGCCACCTGAGATTGTAAAGTGTTGCCACCAGAATAAAGAATGTCAAACAACATTATTTCAACATTTACAACATGACATTGATATATCGATAGTTTTCACATTTTTAAATATATAAATGTTTTAAATTAAAAAAAATTAAATTAAAAAAAAAGTAATGCAATCAAAAATGCGTAAGTTAGTCTCGTCGTTTACTTGCTATTTATTTATTCTGATTTTCGATAGACCCAGCATAAATATATCGACTATTAGTCCGATACATTGTTCGGTTGTGTTGCACTCATCATTCCTAGCACAAAGCCCTTACTGCAGTAAGCATTTGGGTTTTCTGTTCAAAGAAACAAAATTGAATTAAGCGTAAACATTAGGATGTCTAACAGTAATACAGACACAGGTGACACAACCGTACTGACCACAACCAGTGCCACAGTACAGGATTTCAATCCAAATGCTGTCGATGGCGAGCCACTGGAACCCCGTGAGTCGCTGGTAAATAGTCTTAAGCAAACACGCATAACAGTCCGATTCGATTGTGTCTAATCTCTAACCTTAATACGGTAGATAACCACAGCTGTTAGCTTTTTACAAAACACGAAAGTGCGCCACACCACACTCGTCCAAAAACAGCAGTTTCTGCGGTCCAAAGGTCTAACTGCGCACGAGATACAATTGGCTTGCGAGCGAGCCGGTGTCTTCACCCAAGATCCAAACAATCCGAATACGGTTATAAATATTGGCTCTCAATTGGCGGTGCAGCCACAACAAACAGCTTTTGGCAGACTACGAGAACTGCTGCACACGACTGCGTTATTTAGCGGGGTCGTTTATGCCATATACCTGTTCTGGCGCGTGAGTAATATACTATATATTATATTATATATTATGAGTAATATAAAATGCTTACAGAAATTTATTGCGCCGTTTTTGTTTGGCAAGCCCAAGAAGAAGCCCGTTGAGGATGTGTTAGCAGATATTGACAAGAAGGTGGTTGCACGCACCGATGCACTTAATAATGAGATCACATTGGTTAAAGACATGATTACGCTGCAACAGAAGGAGCAGGCCCAACAGATGACTCGCGAATTTAATCATTTTCGCTGTGACTTGGATGCTATTAAGGGCCTATTGTTGAATCGTAAACAATTTGCGGGACCCGTACAGCCCATTGCGGTGCCTTCGATACCTGCCTGGCAGTTAGCTAGCTCGCCTCATCATCATCGCCATAGCAACAATAGCCAATCGGATGACAACGATAAGCCCGATGATGCTGGCTCCGGTTCAGGCTCGTCCGAAACGGAAGTGGTAACCAAAAACAGTGATTCTAGCTTAGAGATCATGTAATACTATGGAAAGGCTTTTACTATGTAGCTTAAATAATCTGGCTATATATATAGAAATATATTTTGTATATGAAATATTTGATGCTTTAGTAATAATCAGTGTAAATTGAATGAATATCATTTAGACGGTTTGCGATTTAGTAGTATTCAGGTTTAATTTTCCAAAAGCTAATATCCATATCCATAATTGCTACCAAAACGATAAAGTACAGAAATATATACAACATATATATTTAATAAAAACAGGTTTGAATAATTGAAAAAAACCTTAATTATGCAATTTGTTAATCTATGCGACAAGAGCGCCGGGGTTTTGTTTATGTTTGTTTTTTAAGTGGGTATTTTTAAAAAAGGCTAACGTACTGTATTGTGTAGGGGTGTGTCGGGGTGTTCTTGGGGTGGCCGGGTGATAGTTCAGCTTAGTTGATATTTTTTAAACTTATAGTTAGAATTCAATTTTTATCTAAAGTTGCCGATTCTTATCATTTTTTGTTTTTGTTTTTTTTTTGTTATTTTTTCTACGTTTCTATTAAATTGGCTAAATTCCCATTAAAATGTATTAGGCATATTCACGATGGCTTCCATTGGCAGCGTATATGGACATTCAAGGGCTGAATGAAGTTTGGTTTAGGGTTTAGATTCGATTGTGACAAACCCATTTAAGGTATACTATATATTATGTTCCTTGTGCGGTGCGTAGCTTTTGCTTGTTTTGTTTTTGTTTTTATTACAAATTTGGTTCTCTGCGCGATCCGTTATATATATATATGTATATTTATATATTTTTTCAACTACTTATTTTAAAGATTTTTATCGATTTGTACATACGATAAATTAGTTTTTCTTTAAGTTATAATTCTAAATTATACGTTTATAGTCTCACAAAAGATTGTTTGGGGCTTCCTCATATATTATATATAAAGTTAAGGTGCAGCACGGAATGAAAAATCAGTGCCAGTGCATGATTCTTATTTCATGTGTGTGTGTCTGTTTTTCTTGTTGTTATGTTAAAGGTTTTGGAAAACAATCAATTTGTTTAATTACCCTCATCAAGAATAAGTGGAACCCATTCTACCCATACTTTGTATGCATAACTGAACCCTTTGCTTACATGGGCAGCATGGTCCTTGTTCGGGATAAATTGCAATGACTAACAACAGCCAGGCCGTGGTTAAGTATCAGCTATTTATAATTAATAAAAAACATATGTACAATTATTCAACTTTAAACTTGTAACCATTAATTTCGAGGGCATTCTGATAAGATAAACTTGACCTTTAAATAACTGGTTTTGTTTCTTAACTTGCTGTAGTCAAAAGTCTTAAACAGTGAAGTCCCTCATGTTAATTAATTAAAGAACTATGCCTAAAATAGAATAGCTTATCGAAGGAAACACAATAGTGGTACTTAGCCCCATGGTGCACAGTTAGCTTAAAGAATTTAGACAAATAGTTTACAAAAATGGTTTCCTTTCCATTCTAAACAGCTGAATTGATGACCGCCGTACTATTAATGCTAGTTGTCGGTCCAAATGTCGCTGCAGCCGATGTGCTGGCGCTTGCCGTTATGCTAACAGCAGCCGCTGCTGCTGTGGTGCCACCATCCGGATAACCGCCTGAGGCTGGGGCAGGCGACAAGGACATTGTCGAAGACGACGGGGATGAGCAATCGCTTTGAACACTCATCGTGGGCGAGGCAGCTACCAAATTGCTGCTGCTGCTCGTATTGCTGATGGTCAGCGGAAATTGCGATGGTGTTCCGGTCGGAGTATGCGGTGATAGGGGCGTTAGCACGGAAGACGTTGTGGATACAGGGCTGCCGATGCTGTTGGAGCTCGTTGTGATGGCAACGGTTACAGCTGCCGATGTGCTATTAATGTTATTTGCTGTTGTGGGCGTGGCAGGTGTTGGTATGGCAACAGACGAAGAACCCGTTGATTGCGGCGTTGAAGAAGACGGCGGCGATTGCTGTTGTTGCTGCTGATGATTGGAATTGCTGCCAGTCGCAGCTGCTGCAGCAGCAGCACGTTCACGCTCACGATCGCGCTGCGGCCGGAAAGCTTCTCGCAGCGCCTCAACACGATTCTCATTGGGTCCCCAGCGCGCATAGCCAGCGCTATTCTGCAGCCAAACCACTTGAGTGCCCTGCATGCACTTAATGAGCACCTCAGATCTGTTGAAAATGTACGGAATAATCACGTTTGTATACATCTATATACTTTGTAAACTACTTACTTTTGCATCATGTGCTGATAGCCATGTCGATATTCGTGCGCCATGCCCAGCACAACCATTGAGCGGCGCTTGTACATGCTCTCCTCCAGCTTCGATATGCTCTTCCACTCTGGCAGAAACACAATGAAGCTGTGTGGGTTAAGACAAAAAAAATTTATATATATTCATTTTCAAAAAGAACATTTATTGAAATAGCCACTTACCTCAAAGGCTCCATGGAATCTGTAAGCAGTTTATCAACATGCAAAAGGCAGGCATCCATAAGTTCTTCGCAATGCGGCGGATTCACTTGGAAGGAACCGGACACTGGCTTAAAGTCCAAAAATGGTCTATAAGTAAAAAATGTTCTTATACTGCAACTAGATTAAATAGGAAATTCTGTTTGACTTACCCTCTGGAACCGAAGTAGGCATCCGTGTCCGCAAATGCTGAGCAATATTGCCGAAAATAGGAATTGAACGGAGATGCAAAGCATTCAAAGCTAACACCGAAATGCCTGTGCAGGCACTCGAAGACGGGCACTGGCAATGCAGCCTGTGTGAGCTCCGCCTCCTGGGATGAGTTTAACGTATTACCTAAGAAGGTCTGATAGCGCTTAAGCAGGCACCAGACCCGGCCAATGAACAGATCAAATTTTTTGTCGTCGAAGCAATTGTGACGATAAAGCTGTTCCAGCTTTTGGAGATAGGTGAGGTTGATATATTGCGCATCCGGCTGATTGATGGTCGCGGGCGTATACTTTATGATCATATGATCACGATCCTGCAGATACTCAATGGCCGGCATGCGAGGCGAAGGCACCGCAAACTGTATAGGATAGCACCACACTTTCTTCAGGTGGGGCGGCGGGGGTGGTGGCGTTGGTTCCGGTATGCCATGCTCCTTGAGCAGCTGCAGATGACGTTCACGTATTTTACGAGCATGCTCCGCTGATAGATGGTATATCTTAATGCATAAGGTTTCCACAGAGCTCTTAACAGTTTCCACCAAATGGGGTTCGCATTGGCGCTTTAGATGCGCCAAACGATCCTGGAAATCCTCATAGCTAGCGCCCACTGTGCGGCGGAGCCATTGAAATGTGTCCTCCACATTCCACTTGACAACCTTCTTAGACTCCGCTGGCGCTGACCGCGATTCGATGATCTGTTTGGCCGCCTCCGCATAACGTGACAGCTGCTTGCGTGCATCGCCCGTGAACTTGGGCTTGACAATCTTGATGGGTATATCGGACATGATCTCGCGATACATGGAGCTGGAGATTTCGGGCATGCAGTTGCTGGGCAGCAACGGATCGCAGCCGGTGTCTATGACCTTTCGTTCCATCAGCCAGCGATTAAAGGAGTCCCGCGGCGCCTTAATATTCTCTCTACGCATGCATAGATCCTCGTATGTCTTGAGCAGCTTCATGCTGAAGGCGGCGCGCAATGCCTCGATCTCTGGGTGCGGTTGGGGAAGTAACGTAGGCGGGCGCTCAACAATTACTGCATTGGTGCAGACCTCCAGATCCCAGGGACCGGCCAACACAAATTTCTTCATAGGCGGACCCCCACCATGCGGACCCATGTGCTGCTGCTGCATCTGTTGATGGTGCGGGTGCGGGTGTATATGCATGTCATCTGAGGGCCGACGCTTCAAATGATGATGGTGTTGCTGTTGGTGCGGCGTCATGGGCGTTGGACCACCAACACCGCCGCCCCCAGCATGGCAAATGCCCAATGGATCGGTAAGCGGATCAAAGGGACGCGCGCCGGGCATTTCCCAAAGCGATTCGCCTGTAACCTTGTTCCAGTAGTAAGGTCGATTCTCGCGCTTCGACCAGAACTTCCGCCAACCCTGATTAACAAGTTCACCTGTTAGCTCCTCACCATAACCACCAGGTCCAAGTGTTGGCGGGCCTTGCGGCGTGTGAGCCATCGCCTCCAACGTGGGCGGCGCATGATGTGATTTTGTCGGCGTCGATGGTGACGAGCAACTGGGCACCGGTGAGCTACCAGCGCTCATCATGTGTCCAGCTGCATCCGATGTAGACGCGGCCGCTGCCGTTGTAGCTGCAGCCGTTGACGTAGGCGACGGTGTCATATTGTTAGACGCACTCGCCGTTAACTGATCCCAGGCACTCTGAGCGCTGGTGCTCGGCTGCATCATGGAGCCCACAGAACCGGTAGAGGCGATCACCGATGGCGGCACCTGCAGCGCTCCTAGATTGTGCATGTTGCTGTTGTTAGCTGCCATTTGAGCTCTGCAAAACCAAAATAAAAATAACACGCACACACACCTTAACATTATTTACAGCTCTTGTTTACGTTTTTCAATTGCGAGAGGGAGAGGGAGAGCGAGAGCGTGCGCGCTTATATGAGATGTGAGAGTGCCTGCTGCTGGTCTGGCAAGCAGTAAAATACTTGGGCTCCAGCTTAACGGCAACTAGTCGGCAAGAAACACTCAGCGAAGCAGCAACGCAAGCCGGAGAGTACGCGCAAGTGCCCGAACAGCAGGATCGTCATAAATATGACGCATAAATGTGTACACACATACATAAGTATAAATATGCCGTTACTATTGTGCTATGAGCACGCATTCCCCTAATAAACTCCACCATTCTACTGGAGCTTTTGCTGTAGCTATAGCTGAGAGCGGCGCGCATATTTTTCTTATGAGCAACAAACTGAGAGAGCGAGAGAGAGAGCGGTCAAGAGAGAGCAACAGTGAGAGCGAGAGCCATAACGACAGACACGAATGAGAAATCAAAACAAATTGCAAAAGAATAGAGATTTTCTGCCTGCTTGTGTATATGTTTTGACGAGCGTGTACCTAGCGTATGCGCACCGCACAAATAAAAATATACAAAAATTATTTGCAGGCAACTTTGTTGCTGCAATTCACACACGCACACACACTCACACTAATAACGATTGCATTACTTGCCATAAACAATTGCGATGACTTATAAAAAAAATGCACTAACAACATTCAAGTGCTGCTCTGCGGTTTCGTGGCTACGTCATGCCAGGCACAGAAATAATGGCGCGCTTTTCCATCAAAACACACAACACAATAATTGCAGCTACATATAAAAGAAAAATTTCATAAAATTGACATTTTATTTTTGTATTTTGGTTGGCGCTTCGTAACATTTTTGGCGCGCATGCATACATTTGCGGCATTTGTCGTTTATATAGCTTTATAAACAACATTGTGACTGCAACGAAAATTTCTCTACACTTTCTTTTCAACCACATCAATATAAACTACGCCTTGCTGCTGCTTGCTGATGTTTCGTATGGTCATATTTCAAACGCGTTTAAATGCCACTAAACTCACCTATTTTCAACTATCCTATTATACAAAACACCAACAACGTGTTTCCAAACATTTATAACGTATGTACGTAATTATTTGATACGATTTATTTATGTTTTATAAATAAATTCCTGAAAAACTCTTCTTCCAAAGATACTTCACCAGCTAAGTGTGACCAGACTTGGTAAGTGTTGTAATAACTGATGGCAAAATATATCGGAAATTTTATAAATCAAAACAAGAGTTATAATACTTTGTATAAATTACAATTCTAAATTGTCAAATAAAAAATTATTATTTTAATTATATTTTGAACTCAATTATCAAGGTATTTAACTGTTGGCAGTTGATCTTTTCAACTATCGATAATATGATCTGATAGAAAATCTGCGAAGTGAAAAAATACCAACACACAATATCTACATATGAACACAATAATAGGTATCTTTGAAATACTGTACAGTTTTTAGATTGAATTTTATTCATTCTGGATGGAGTTGTGGAATGTTTACCAACAGTATTTACATATACATATATTTGTAACTAATTTGTTGCCTGCAATTTAAGGCAAATTTCTACACTTATATTGAGATCCGGCTTATATCTGTTTATCAAACGTAGTAAATTTAACTTTTTTGCCTTGGAATTATTTGATTCCAATTCATACAATGTTGATAAATTCACTAGCAAACTTTCATTCAACGACTTTTGTGGATTCAATTTGATTGCACGTTCATACAAGTTAATTGCGTCTTTCAGTTTGCCGGCATAAAGCAAGCACACGCCCATATTGTTCAATATCATTGTATTGCCGGAGTCCAAGTGTAGCGCTTTTTGAAATATGAGATAAGCCTCTGGGAAATCATTCTTGGCCACAGCTATGAGGCCCTTATCGACCAGATCTCGCAAATCCGGCGACATATTACTGCAAAAGTCAAATTGGAGTGCTATAAATAATAATTTCTATAAATAATGTGTTACTCACATCTCACGCAATCGTCGAGAGACCGCAAATTTTTGTTCCGCCCCAAAAATATCCCCAATTTGTAGATAAATGCGACCCCAAGCTGAATACAAGGCACGTTGCTCCTCTTTGCTAAGTGTTGAACGTGTTAACAGCATGTCACCCATAATGTCATCAATCATGCTAAATTTTTTCATCTAAAATATGGTTCAATTATGGATTAAACTCTTTATAACTTCTCATTTTCTCACTCACCATTAGCGCACAGTTGATAATGGATTGCAGAACACGTTCAGCTCTTCGCTGCCAGAATTCAGCTGCATTTGTATTCTTTAATCTATCATAATGCAACTTGATTTCATGGCTTATTACATGCAGCTCGGATAATCTATCCAGCGCTATATGAGGTTTGCCTAGATAAATGGGTAACTCAGCCAAAAGCAAACGAAACGAGAAGCACGCTATGGAGCCATGTTTGCCCTTATACATCTCTGGATAATACTCAAAAAATACATCAGATCCATTCAGTTGTGCGAATGGTTCAGCTTCTGCCTGCAGTAGCTCGTATTCGCCCAGCTTGGCCAGCAATGCGAGGCGCGTAAACCACAATTGCAGCGAATGTGGCGAATGTTTCGCTGGCTGACCAGCACGTCCATAGCCCTGACCATAAATGGTCAGCAGTCTGCCTGTTAGATTAACCGCGGCACGAAAGCAACCCGCATTTATTAAAGTACGTATGCCTCGTTCATCTTGCGTTACATCTTCAACTGCGAGAATTTTACGATGCTGCAATTCAGCTTCACCCAAATGTTGAGTTACAGCTATACAAATGGGATCAGGCTGTAAAAATTCTAGATTAAATAAGTGTCTATACACATATATATTTTTACTACATACCAAATCGTTAGCTATGTGTATGCCTGGCATAATAAGATGTGTTGCCTGCTTGCCCGTTTCATTTGGTGTGGGCAGCTGCCACAGGTTTCTCACCTCATCAGTCACTTTGATAGGCTCTTCAGCTTCAGCTGTTTCTACGTATTCGGGAGGTTGAAAGCAGCCCGTAAATGTGATGTCCAGCATATTGTTGCTGTTGGTTGTCTCAACTACGTTTGCTGGCTGTGTCTCCTTGGGCTTTGCTTTGTTGTTTGTCAGCTCATCAAAAAAGCTGGGCGGATCGTTGGCGAAATATTCGCTTAATCGTCCGTTTGAGTTATTTGTCATTCCGTGTTCAATGCGTTTATTGTTTCTTTTTAGCACCTGCTATGCAATCGAAAATTAGCCGATGAACATTTAATCGATTTTTTTACTATTTTAAACTGCCAATTTACATTGCGACGGTCACACTGCACAATATATCGATTTACTTTTGATTGCTGCGAACGCAATTTGAAAGAAACATTCCAATAAATAATGCTGTTTATAATCTATCTAAGAAATTTAATATTCACAATATTGATACTTATCGAGAATACAATTTTTGCAGTATCATAAAGTAAACTTAAATAATTTTATATAAGTGCTATCGATACTTGGTATGGATAATCGATAGTTGATTTTGCTTTTAATTACTACAGTGCTGCCCAGCCCATGAAAAAAGATGTTACAAATTTAAACATTTTTTTTCTATATTTATTTATTGCAGTTGCATTATTTTTATTGTACAGTAAAATAAAGCAAATTAAAAACTAGAAACATAACGTCATTTGATGACCCAAACGTGTAACATTAAAAATGATGTATTTACAAAGCAGCGCCTGCGCATTTTCCACATTTTTCACTCTACTGTCCATTGAAAATGGATTCGGGATAATAGCTGGGGGCGTTGAACATGCGCGGGAAACCATTTGCATCCAATTGACCCACAGGCAGCATTATATCACTGCAACGAGAAAAATGTATATTTAAATGAGTGCATGTGTGTGTGTGTGTTAGAGAGTGTATGGAATTTGACGCCTGTAAGTGATCAAACACAGCGGGGCAGGCGGCAACAATTGAGGCACATGCTACACGCATGCGCACTCGGCCGAAGGCAACGAGCGGCGGGCAACGGGCAACGGGCAACGTTGGCGACCAGTGCCCGTCTATAAATAGGGAAAAAGGAGCTGCAAAATTGGACATAAAACACGCTCAAGTGCCCTTTCAGAAAAAAAAACCAAAAAAATAAAATGGCACCGGACCGTGGCGAGCCGTAAAGGAACTCGAATTGGGACTTCGACGCGGAGGCAAGTGTTTTACGGTCACTTAAACGATTTTTTAATGCCAATTTTTGAAAAACAATTGAATTGGTTTTCGAGAGCGCGAGAAACATGAATTGTTTTACGAGTTATGTGGAAAACATATTGTAATTAGTTTTTGGGCGACATAGAAAAAAAAAATATATATATATATATATATGACTCTGTAGTGAACCTACGATCTTTGCTGTGGTGTGCGATCCCTTTGCCGGCGATTCTTGAACCAGTTGGAGACTTGGGTGAGCGTGAGGCCCGTTTTCTTGGCGAGCGTCTTCTTTTCATCGGGCGTGGGATAGCGATTCGTTAGGTAGCAATCCTTTAGAGCATTGCGCGACTTCTCCTTGAAGCAGTAGACAGTCTCCTCGCCGTCCCAAATGGTCTTCGGCAGCGGATACTTTTTGCGTAATCGATATTTGTCCACGGCGCCGAGCGGGCGACCGCGCACCTTTTCCGCCTCCTTGTAGTGCGCCTTGAACCACAGATTCTGCAAGTCCACGTGGTACTTGATGGAGAAACAGTGCGTCTCCAGCAGACTATAGAGCTCATGGAACTGGCCCAGATTGTAGGCAACCATGGCGCGTGCCCTCAGCACGCTCTCGTTCGTCTTGAAGAACTCGCTGGGCGGCAGGCTGCACAGGAAGTTAGTCAACTTCTCGATGTCGCCCTTCTGCTGCAGTGCTTCGCACATGCACTGAATCTGTGGGAGATGGAGCACAGTCAATTCAAGCTGAGCACATACTTCTGGCCAGTCTCTGACTCACCTGATCTGTGGAGAACTGCAGCATTTTGGCATCAATGGGAAAGCTGCCGACGGCGGACATGTTGTGTGCTGCTGTCAGATTCGATATGAGATGGCCGCCGCTCGAGGAGCCAACGCCGCCGCCTCCCAGGGCTGTGGGACCGCGCTGCAGGCCGCCACAGAGCCCATCCGTCTTGGTGTTGCCATTGAGATCGCCCAGGCCGCTGTTGCCGTTCTCGAAGATGATGCTGTTCAGCGTGGGATAGTGCGTGGGCGTCGTTGATGCTGTGGGCGGCGGCGACTTGTCATAGTCGTTCGTGATGTCCTGAAAGCGCCGCTCAATCAAATCCTTCTCGCTTGCCTCATACGGCGCAAATTTGTCCAGTTGCAAAACTGTCTTGCACGAAATGTTGCCGCGATACCCTAAAGGAGCAGCGCAATTGAGGCGGGATTGAAGCGAATTATTCAACAGATTTTCAACTTTCATCAAGTTTACTCGATTTATTTTGGATATATGTTGCTCGATTTACACATGAATATATATGAGTTAAGGATACTTTATCTAGGCATATCTATGACAGCTGCTGATTCTATCTGTTTCTCTGGTTGTTTTTCCCTTAGATTATAATTAGTCTAAAGTTTGTATAGGTCAGCCTTAGCTAGTCATAGGTACGATAATCTAAATCTAAGTTCAATAATCTGTTATTGATTTCGAATTTTTAGAGAAACTTAAAGATTGTATTTACTTTAGTATGGAGATTTAGTAGATAGTGAAAAATCTTGAATGAATTTTGATAATTTTAAGACTTTTTCTCTTTACTTAAAGTTTTACCTGTTTCTCCCCCTCTCTTGGCCACACTTTAAATTTTTTTAATTATGATTTTGCTAATTTATTTAATTTCTTTTATTATAATTTTATTTATTAGAATTTCTGGCAAAATTCGTGGTAGCTCATATTTTCGCACTCAGTCTCTCTCGCTCTCTCAAGCTCAATTTCATTCTCTCTCTGTATCACTTATTTTTCTCTTCTTTTTCTCTTTTAATCTGCCTCAGTTTCTCTCGCTCTGTTTTAATCTCTCTCTCTCTCTCTCTCTATGTTTCTCTATCTCTATCTATCTCTTATCTCTATCTTATTCTGTGCTTCTCTCCTCGTTCTTCTCAAATTTCTCTGCCTATCCCTCTCTCTCATTTTCTTCATGTCCCTCTTTCTCTCTTTAGCTCACTCTTTATTTTTTCCTTCTCTCTATAGCTCCATATCTCACTCTCTCTCCCTCTCTTCTTCCTCTTTAGTTATCTCTCTCTCTCTCTCTCTCTCTGCGCTTTTCTCTAATCTCTCTATCTCTCTCTAATCTCACTCTCTCTCTCTCTCCCACTCTACACAACTTGCACAATTCATAGCCCAAACATTTATATGGCACGTGTGAAAATTATTTAAATATTTTTTTCTTTATGAAATGTTTATGTTTTTATGTTTTCCATATATATATATACACAAATATAAATATACGAACATTGCATTTTGACGCAAGAGAATTCATTCTCACGTGCTACTTTGCTATTCAGCAGTTGCTCGGCTACTCCGACTCCCCTTCGATCTACCCCTTCAACTCCCGCACAACCTCCTTGAATTTGGAGCCCCTCGCGTCCACGAAATGCATGTGACTAATCGAAATTCTGACTTTCGACACCTCAAACCTCAGACTTCAGACAGAGCCAACAATACCATATAGACCAGAAAGCGACAACATGCAAAATATGTATATATATCTATAGATATATAAATATATATATATATATATGTATAGGTATGTTCGACATCCGATACCCTCTTTAGGTACATATATATGCACATATACATAATTAATGCTATGTAAATATTATAAAACAATTGAGTTGTGTTTTTTGTTTAATGAGTAGAAGCTACACCAAAGAATGCCAAAGGCAGGGTCGAGCTGGAGAGCTATGGAGCTTAAGGGAAGGTATTGCAGGTATTCCAAAAAGCATTTAAATTGAAGTTAGATTTGATTTAAGTAAATTTTTAGAAAGAGTTTGAAAAGAGTTTCTGTTGGAGATACTTTTCATCAGAATCAAAATTTCTATAACTTTCAACTAAGCAAATTTATGAGAACAGACAATGATAATGACAATGATATATATAATAATTGTAAGATTAAATAATAAAATAAAATATAGTATTAATTATAAGAGAAATAATGACAATAATAATTATAATGATAATGATAATGATAATGATAATGATAATGATAATGATAATAATAATAATAATAATAATGATAATGATAATGATAATGATAATGATAATGATAATGATAATGATAATGATAATGATAATGATAATGATAATGATAATGATAATGATATTGATAATAATAATGATAATGATAATGATAATGATGATGATAATAATAATGATAATGATAACGATATTTAGAACGATAATAATAACTTTAAATATAAATAAAAATGTTTCCTCAATGAATTATAAATTATTTTTATACATTTTTTTCTACGTTAAATTCAATTAAAAAATGGTTTAAAAAAAGTTATAATTTTATTATTGTTTTGGGCCAGACTTAAAGAGAAACCTTAAATAATTTATTGTTATTTATTATAATAATTTATTATAAAGAAAACATCAAGATCTCTAAATCTATATGCATATTATCTTTCACAGCAAAGTTTCATTATTAAAAATTTGTATATTTGCTGCCAACAAAAATCCAAAAACAATTTTCAAATAAAATCGTTTTTTTTATAATTCTGAAATAATATCTATGCAAATTGTTGTCCCACAGGAATGCAAAGTCTTAGATCAGTTTACCTATTTGACTGATGGCAATAATTTATTAATAGACAGCATTTATTTATGCCATTGCTATGTATATATTATATTGCATTTCCGAAGCTCATTCAGCGTCTAAGAAATGTGAAATCTTCAGCAAAAAAAGGAAATTAACATTAAAACATAAAACAAGAGTCTCCGAGTGTAATTGTTTATGCAGCGCCTCATTGACGCCTGTTTCATGTAATCCGATCTATATATATATGTGTATGCTTGGCTTAACTGATAAGTTGGCTATTTGGCTTACCAGCATTTGGCAGAAAGAGCGAGCCGTAGGCCATGGGCGAGCTAATGTTGTCGTGCTGCACGGCCGAATGATCGGAGGCTGTGCCGGCGGAGCTGGTCGAGTCCAGGTCTCCGTTGATGGACACCGAAAGATTTGTGGTATCCATATTTTTTTCAAACATATTTGAAAGCTGAACTTTAACAGTTTTCAATTAAATATATTTATATATATATTTAACTAAATCATTTACTTCATAAATTTGTATTTTAGCACAAAATTCTCACTTTTAATAGCACTTTTGTAAAGTTTGATTAAATTTTTATACTTTTTTGTTTTTTTTTTCAAATATTTTTCTTCCCGTTGACAGCAACGCGACGCTTTCGCTTTTCAAACGCAACTGCAAGTGGCAAAGAGAGCGCGCGACGTTCGCGTTGACGAATGAAATGGAACTGCATTCAAGGCTGCGTCGGCGACTGTTGCTGCCTGTGCCTGAAACGTTTGGAAACGAAACGTTGTAAAAGGCCCCGTTTGTGTATGTGTGCGTGTGTTTGTCGCTGTGCGTGAGCGTGCTAATTAGGGGTAGTTTATTCGCTGTTGCCTTGTCCTGCACTGTGGGCGTTGCCTAGACAAGGCAGGCGCCATTTTCAATGTTTGCCAATAACAGGCCAGCCAAACCTGATTATATACATACATATACAAGTAAGCATGTGTGTGTGTGTGTGTGTGCGTATGTTAAGTTGTATTGCATTATGTTATCTAATGCTAAACATGGAAATTTCAATTGAAAAATAGAACATGGTGACCTCATTTGCTGCTCAATGGTAGTATCTGATGAATGCCGTGTGCATTTCTTAGAATTTACATCAAGTTTCTTTAGCATTGCTAAATGCTATTTTGTTAGAGTTTGCATATAAAATCAGTCGTTAAAGTCACCAAAAACGCGATGCAATTTGATGCCGCACAACAACAGCAGGCAACAAAACTGAACAGACAAACACATAGACAGAGAGACAGACTGATAAAGGGGCTGCAAAAAAATGTTGCTGCTGCTGTCTTTGTTATTTGTCATCTAATGGCATCAAATTTCAATTACAAAATTGTTCCTTTCATTCACAAGCATTAAAATCTGTGTGCGCCACTTCAAATGGTGTGATAAAATAGTGACATGACAAAGGTGACAACAGCATCAAATCCACAAAAAGGCTAAACAATGGTTGCCAGCAGCAGCAGCAGCACCATATTTGTTGTTGTTGTTAAAAGATTTCATTAGGACTGAAATTAGGAGGGTTGACAATTTCGTCACACAGCCAAATCCCCGAGCCTGTCCCAACTTCAGCTCACACGGGAGATTTCAATTCGACACAGCATCAGCTTTATAGCATTGAGTGATCAATTCCGAAGGGCGCAGCAATTGAGGTGCACGCGGCCTGCACGTTGACAGCACAACAGGTGCATTTGCTATTAATGATGACTATTAAGAGCTTAAGAGCAGTCAGCTCTAGACTCAGTTCATTTGAGCTTGTGACACTAAGGATCTGCTCATAGTGCTTCTATCGATAGTTATTCTTTTGGCATAAGCTTTTGTTCAAGTGAACTAATTAGATGAAGTAACATGTTGAGCGTTGCCACCCATTCAAAAGACATTGTAGTAAACTATTTGCACTTAGCGTGAAATGTTAGACTGTCTCTGACTGTGCAATGTGTTGCTTCTAATTAGACATGAAGAGGTTTGACGTATAGGGCTAATTGTATTGAATTGCAACAGCACGAGAGCTCTCCGTCTGCAGACGTCATTAAACGTCCTAAACTTCATTGACATCACTTGAGCAGATACTCTTATCGATAGTGAAAGGTGATGAACGTTGACATTACGGCAGCTACTCTAGCGATAACGATAATATATCGACAGGAAAGGAGTAAAGACTTGGTCGGGTGGGTGTTGCACGCTGCACGCTAATTGACCGCATGAAGAGGCTTTTAATCGCATTAAGCTAATATTGTTTATTTGATTATGGCAATCACGTGTCAGGACTTAGCTGCCAAGCAATGCCCAATAACAAGCACTCGGGCCATGCGAAGCGACGCGCCTTGATTCCCACACTATCGTGTTTTGCCGAGCGTAGCAAAAAAAGCTGTTTTTTGCTGCCTGCCTTGGTGTCCGGTTCGTTATAAAGCTACTGAATGCAGGCGGGTGCAGAGAATGCATTCAACAGTGAGAAGCGAGGATCTCCAAGCAGATATATATATATATATATATATATATATATATAACTGATATATTATAAAAAATACTTATCAAACTCTTAAGTTGATCTAGCCTAAGCCCTCTCCTTTGTCATCTGACACCCTTTAGTTGCGTAAATCTCTAACTCTCTATGCATATATATTGAAAACGTTTTACTCCTAACTTCTTATATAACCCAAGCCCATTGTCATTTTGCTCGAGTGCACACAAATTGCTTAACTTCTGGCAAAAAGAAAGAAAGACACAAATATTTGTAGTAGAATTTAGCTAACGTCATGCTGTTAGCCAACGCAATCCTTAAACAGAAATAACCTGTGCGACATCATAATCCGCAGCCCAGATAAATGGAGCGACAAACCCACTGGAAAACAGCTTAAACAGCTCTAATCCCAAAATTCCCAACAAATGTGTCTGCAAAGTGTTTTGTCATTTATGTTGTAGCTGCTGCTGCTGCTGCTGCTGCTGCTGCTGCTGCTGCTGCTGCTGCTGCTGCTGCTGCTGGTGGCTTTTGTCTATTCCATTCATGAACTGTAGTCACATTGTCTGATCTTTTGTGCAGCATCCTTTATCCGCTTGTCGATCGCACAATAATGGGCAAACGCATTCCTATTGTGGCCGGTCCACTGCGGGTAGCAACCTGATTTTCGCACCTTGTCAACAATTGTTCAATAGAAATGTTTACGGGCATTAGTGGACAAGATTCAAGTATTTATAGCGCATAGCAGCCGGAAGAGTACCAATTAATATTCTTCAGTTTTCAGTGCACCAATTAGTTACGGAAATCCATCAATGCTCACGTCCTATGCTCACATATGTTCCGATATAGTCAGAGTCTCGAGCTAATTGGCTGGCAAGGGTTGCGGCTGTGTGTGTGGATGTCTATCTGTGGATGCACGCTGTAAGAGGATCCCTAGTCAATGGTCTACACACACACAACAATCTTATTAATTCTCATTAATGAAGCGTCGCTGGCTCTTGGGGTTTCCATTTACTCAAATAACAAATAAAACTTTTCTACACTTACAACAATCAACTATTTGTATACATAGCGAAACTTGAATTGTTTTTCTAGTATTTGTATACTAGCATAAGCTAAAATTATAATTGCTATACATCTATATACATATTTATTTATATGTATATATGTATAGGTGGGATGGGGTTACATTTTGCCAAGAATTTCATTGTGAAAAGCAAAAAGAAGGCCTCGAACATCATTCAAGGAACTAGAGCAGCTCTAATCCATTGATAAATATCATTTTGTAGATCTTTTCGATTGATTAAGAGTTTTTGACAATTCTTGTTAAATTTCGAATTTTCAGCCAGCAAAGTGAATGCGGAAGCAAAAATGCTGATAAAGGCAGCAGTTTAAAGGAATTTTGTTGAGGAAATATTTAAAAAAAAATGTTATTTTGAAATATTTAAAAAAAAAATAAAATTCAGCAATTTTAAAGAAATTTTATAAGCAGTATCAAAAATTATATATAATACTTATGTATTTATAATTATAAAAAATTATATATATTATAATTTATTATATATAAAATCTATAAGGTTCTATTTCAGAAATTTCTAAGAAATTTTACATTTCAAAAAAATAATATATAAAATCTAAAAATATATAAAAATATTCCATTAGTTTTTTAAAAAGTGTATATATACATATATATTTGAAAAATATATATATAGGCTTAGCTCGCTGTTGTTCTCTTTGCAAAAGCTACAATCATGCAATTCTCAAATGGTTAAAGCTTAGCAAGAGTTAGCGAAGTTTGTTGAGTTTAGGAAAGGCTGACTAGGAATTTGCTTGGAATAGCTATGTAGATAACCAGCTCCCAAAATGTGTATTGAATGCTGTCAATTTGTTGATTACCAAGAAAGAAGTTCTGAAAAAAGTACAAGTTTATTATATACATACAAATATATATACTATATATAAACAAATATTGATATATTTATAAATATATACAAAAAAATCTATAAATGATTATAAATTGGTTTTTGTTTAGCAATTTCCATCTAAATTATCCATTAAAGCTTTTTGTCTCTATTGTAGCTAAAATCTGGAATTTTAAGCTCTCTAGGGGCGTGGCAAAGCAAAAATATATAGAAAAGATGTTGTTTGAAAATGTAACAGCTACAACTCATTAGGGAATTGCACAGTAAATTACTTTAGAGCCGCTCCAAAAGTTGATCAAAAAAAATAATAATCCAAAAACAGTCCTTAAGAAGCCAAAAAAATATATTTCCTATATTTAAAGTCATTATAAATAAGCTTTGCGCTACGAACAGTGTTAAGCTTGCCTACAAATAGATCTATAAATAATATGAGCTAACCATTTGAGTCAACTTAGAACGAGTATATTTATTAAATGAATATATTTTAATGAAAAATAAAAATAATGTATTTCTGGCTCCTTCTGAAACAAAAATGTATCTAAAATTAGCTAAGGATATCAATTTATATATTATTTAATTTAAAAAACATATTTGAATGCAATTATTAATTTTCACTTCATTAATGTGCTTCATTAGGCCAGAAATGGCAATTTACGAAGGATATCAGAAGAGTCTCGTGGGATACAATTAGTCGCTTTAAAACAATCAGACGCCTTGGTTATAGTGGGCATATGTTGGGCGCTGCCCCTGCGCGCTCGCTGGCCGCAAAATGAGCAAATAAATCATAAATGTTTCATTCAACGTAATTGAGCTCAGGCCCAACTGCGCGAACCACCCTTAGCAGAAGGAGCTGTGGTGGGGGTAGAGAGCTGGCGACCTGGTCGTTATGGTTGCACAGTTCCATGAACAAGCGAAGCAAACAATGTAACCCGATCCCATTTCTATATGTCTATGTGCGCAAGATTGTGTTGCAGCAGCGGAACAAGGTATGTCCAATATAATCCTGTTGCTGGGTGCGAGAGCAACAGCAGCAGCAGCAGCAGCAGCAGCAGCTGGGAGAGCAAATTGCTTTAGGGTTGTTAGTCAGGCTCCTCCTACTGCTGCGGAACGAAGTGGAATGAGACAGTGGGCAATGCCCGCAGACAAGGCAACGCCAGGCGGAACGCCATGGAATAAAAGAGTCGAGAGCAAAGTTAAAGCAACAACTAAACTTCTTTGAACATTTGGGAACATTTGAAGAAAAAAAAAACAAAGAAAGAAACAAAGAGCCTTCAGACATCCTTGGCAAATCGACGCACATTGCGATAGTTGACATTGATCAGCCTTATGCTGGCGCCCAGCGTGGCCAAAGGCTTGATAAAGTGATCCAGCGTCTCGGCGAGCGGATCCAATATATCGCGCAGCGAGCACATCACATTGTACAAAAATATCATTGGCGGCTGCAGGAAGCCATTGAAGATCACAGTTAAAGACGGCTTGACCAAATAGTCGGAGGTCGTATGCAGTAGACCCACAATCAGAGTGTTGACCACCGAGTACAGCAGGAATCGGTAAGACTGCAGCACAAAGGACACCACAAAGGCAACGGCTATGTGCAGCAGTCCGAAGAACTCGGCCCAGAAGTGCGTCGCATATGTCGTGGCTCGATCTGCCAGCACAATTGAATTGATCTTGGGATGCGTGTCCGTGGTGCTCAGGTAATCGGCGCAGCCGTAATCAAAGGGATAGATGCCGGTGCAAGTGTGTCGCGCGGCGGCCTTTTTGTTCCACCTCGGTGAGGGCAGATCGTCGATGATGTTGTGGGCATGCTGTGGCTGGCACTTGCACATGTTATCCAGCGAGGCTACCAGGCGTTGCAGGAAGCTAGGACGATTCTCCTGAAACAGCTGATTCGGATGATTGTGATGCTTCGTCTTTTGGTGCTGCTGCTGCTTCTGCTCCTGCATTGGCTTTGCTTTGGGCACATGTTGTGGTTTGGTCGTACGTTTGCGCGGCGGCACCGAAATGCGGGTGCACTTGCTCCTCGTGTAGCGTTGGAATTCAATGCGATTCGGCTTGGAAACACGTTTCTCCGGCTCTGCATGCATTTCATAGAGCACACGTGCCGGGCTCGATAGGCCAGTCGTGTTCGTAGCTGTTGTGTCGCATTGCCCCTCGTTCTCGAACATATTGTACTTAGATTTCGGTTGCTGGTAGAGTTCCGTATCGGTTGAACTGCTCAGCTGGGGCAGTAGCTTCTTTAAAGGCGATTGCAATTTGGCTGTGACACCCACATGATGCACCTGCACTTCAATCAATTGGGTATGCGACTGCGACGAATTGACCTCAACAGCATCAGACATTCCCAGCTTGTTATATAATATAGTTACACAAATATGAAGAGCATGACAATGACTTAAGAAACATAGGTTAACTATCTATACTAAAACTTTATAATATTCCCAAGTCTCATTAAGAGTTCGAGTCCAAAGTGCCTTAAATGTCAGTTGTCGAAATGTAATAGATTTTCACTCCAAAAAGCTCAATTTATCAACTAGTTACCTCCAATAATTCCTCATTTAAAAAAAACGCGCCAAATGAAAAAGTGATCGGGTGTCACTCCACCACAATCTTGCGTTTAACTAAAACTTATCGATAGTTGTACTATCGAACTTGTGAAGCTCGAAGGTGACAGCTGCTCGTAAGGAAAAAACTGATATATATATATACTATATCAAGCATTCCGGCACTTTTCTGGTGACAAATCTAACTGTAATTAAGCATCATTTTGTGCCTTAGATTATCGAACAAAAAGATTGTCAAAATTGAAGCGCATAAATGTTTTCGTCGGTCTGGAAAAACATTGAAACCCAATTGACTTCCTACTATTTTCGAGGTTTGTCCAAATTAGCTGCGAAACGACCTGCAGTTAATGCGTCCCCTGGTGCTGGTGCTGGATCGTTGAAACGGTTTCTGGTTGTCCCGTTATTGTGCCGCGTCAATTGTAATCTTTTTATGTCTTCTAATCTAATCTAACCTACATATATGTTTAATGTGCATGCCTTAACTTTAGTTGCAATAACTAAACTATATATATATTTTTTTCTGCAGTACAAAAGTTGAGGACAGTTGGGTTTAGGGGAATGCATAGCTCATTGGAAGATGTCATGCTGGACAGCATGCAGGTGAAAATCCTGCCTGCTCTACAGGATAATTATATGTATTTGATTGTGGATAGTAAGACGCAGGAGGCAGCGGTCGTAGATCCAGTGGATCCGGAGCTGGTCATCAAAACAGTAAAGGAGGCGAATGTCAAGCTAAACAAAGTTTTGACTACTCACCATCATTGGGATCATGCTGGCGGCAATGAGAGATTGGTTAAAATGTGGGATGGTGAACTGCAGGTGTATGGCGGTGACGAGCGTATTGGCGCAATGAATCGCAAAGTTTGCCAAGATGAAACTTTTACCATTGGCACCCTAAATGTGCGTTGCTTGTCAACTCCGTGTCACACCAGTGGCCATATTTGCTATCATGTGACGGCTGCGAATAGCAATGCAGCTGGTGCCGTTTTTACTGGCGACACACTTTTCCAAGGCGGCTGTGGTCGCTTCTTTGAAGGTACTCCGGAGGAAATGTATGATGCTTTGTGTGCCAAACTTTCGGCTTTGCCGGACGATACAAAGGTGTTTTGTGGACATGAGTATACGCTGCAGAACATGAATTTTGCTCGACATGTTGAGCCGGACAATAAAAATGTGCAGAATCGCATTGAATGGGCCAAGTTGCGCCGCGCAACCAAAGATCCAACAGTTCCGTCGACCATTGGCGAGGAAAAGTTGTGGAATCCATTTATGCGCGTGCATGAGTCTACCGTACAGGACCATGCAGGCATTAAGGCGAATCCCATTAGCACCATGGAAGCCTTGCGCAAGGAAAAGGATAATTTTAAGGCTTAAATTTTAAATTTATTAAACGTTGAAAGTCGTAAAGAGCATAAAGCAGAAGTTTTCTTGTAGGTAGAGCGCCAAAAGTGTTAAAGATATCGATATTAATTTTGATAGGTTAACGATAGCTTTTATTCGTATCGAAAAGTATTTGCTTCGGTGCGAATGGCACTGTTTTGTTGTATTTGCAGTGCAATAGAAGAAAACAACGCAGCGGCAATTGAGTTTGTTTGCTTTAGCAGCTACGTGTTTTTCTTTCTATAATGGACCATCTAAAAGGATTATTTAAGTCCTACGAGGCATGGGTGGCCAAAAATCCTGATGTGGTAGGCGACTTTGAGACAACGGCTAAATGGGTATCCTACTTTGTGGCAGGTAAAGTTTTCACAATGATAAGCAAACTGTTTTTATGGCTTGGTGATGCAATTCCGTTTTTATTAGGTCGTATATCGAACTCAAGTGTATTATCCGAATTCGTATACACCTTGTCCAATATACTGGTGTTCTACAACGATCGCATTATCGAAAAGGCACGTGGCGCCAACGAAAACGCCGTACTCCGGCTGCAGTCCGGCCTATGCTACCGTCTAAAGGTCACACTGACGACGCTTGAATATTGTGAAGTGTTTATCGAGATATCAGCGCGACGCATGTTTGGGCAAACGGGCAAATGGCTGGTGATAACGCTCATACAAGTGTTCAAGGCAGCGGGCCGGTTATTTTTACTCAAACATTCCACATCAGACATTATCACTTCACCGCCCATTGCAGCTTTAAACCGACGTGCGCTAAGCAAGCAGCGCAAATCCGAATCCGTAGCTGCAGACAGCGTGCCCCAATCGGAGCATTCCATAACGTTTCAGCTGAAACGATCCGGCCGCCTAATACGGAAAGTTGAGGGTGCTCCTCCCATACAATATCGTGATTTTAAGCTGCATGTGGACAGTGCGGATGCAGCGAAGACACAAATACCTCGCGAGCTGCTGCAAGCTGAGTATTTGTACATAGCCAAGCCGCTCATTCATTTGGCGGCCATGGGCTTGTTCGGTCAACGCAGCTGGAAGCAGTACATGATAGCGCTCTCTATTGATTTATATAGCGTACACATATATCGTCAGCAGCGACACCTGATGTCCAAGCAGCAGAAGTTGGAGCTAAGCAGACGCTGCATCAATCTTTTGTACTTCCTCGTACGTAGTCCATTTTACGATAACTACACTAAGTCGCGAATTGAACGAATTTTGGGCTTTGTGGCACAGCATGTGCCAATTGCCAAAGTGGTGGCCGGCCCTCTAAAGGAATACGTTCCACAGTGGCAGAACACCTACTTCTACCTGTGGTCCACTTGAGGCTATGTATGTAGCAAGTATTCCATATTAGGCTAAGACAAAGTTATTAATGGATAGATCAACAATTGGTGAAAGAGTTTGAAGAACTTTTCTTTAAATTTCTATCAATTCTGGTTTAAATGGTGATTATATATTGTGCGTTGTGTGATTGTATGGCTTTTAAATTATATTTGGAACAATATTTGTACACATACATTAAAACGATATCTTTTGTTTCCTCATTTTTCATCTTACACGCTAAACTATACATAACAATTATTCAAATTGGCTACGAATCTGTTGTACACACACACAAATCTGTCTCAGAACTTCAGACTGAAGCCAGGACCCATTGCCAGCTGCCGTTGCGTTAGACCCGCATTCAGCACAAATCCTGTGCTTGCCGCCGTTGCACCGCTCTTCTTATTACCAGTTATAATTCCGGAAGCGAGCTTAGCACCTGTTCCGCCGCCAGCTGTGGCCGTTGGCATGGGCTCATCACGGCCCAGCTGCTTGAATTGTGATCCACCGGATGGTGGTTTAGGAGATGATGCCTGTGCCTTGCGTGCGCCCAGCTCGCTCTTGGCTGGCCAAGTGGGAAACATGGATGGATCGATGGGTAGGGGTAGCTCCTTAAAGTAGCCGTGCTTAAGCGCCGCATCTGCAGTCAGTCTTTTTTTTGGATCATATGTGAGCAGGCCCTGTAGCAATCCAAGTCCCGCATCTGACGTTTTGTCCTGGAAATGTTTACGCAGCTGTGACACCGGATAATCCGTGAACTGTGAATTCTGGCTCAGCATATTCTTAACGGCTGGCAGCTCCGAGTACCCGGGCCAGACTTTTTCATTGGGTGTGCCGAGTTCCTAAAAGGAAAAGACAATTAGTAACAATCCTTAGAGTTCTAAACTATAGTATCTTACCTTAAAGATGCGATTAAGCTCATCGATTTCAGATTTGCCCGGAAAGAGCGGCGCCATTTGTAAAAATTCGGCAAAAATGCAGCCCACAGACCACACATCTATGGGAGTCGAGTATTCCGGCGAACAGAGCAACAGCTCTGGCGCTCGATACCAAAGCGTCACCACCAAGGAGGTATATTTCTTTAGGGGCGAACCATATTCGCGTGCCAAACCAAAATCACCCACCTTCAGTATGCCCTTGTGGGAGAGCAATAGATTGGAGGTCTTCAGGTCCCGATGCAGTATCCAATTGTCGTGTAAATGAGCGACCGCAAGCAGCAGCTGTTGGGCCAAGCATTTAACCTCGCCCGGAAAGAAGCTCTGCTTCCGCTGCTTCATTGTTTCCATCAGAGACTTTAGATCGTGCTCCACATAGTCCATAACAATAAATATCTTGTCCATGTTGGAGCCAACGACAATCTCACGCACCGTCACAATATTCGGATGCTGGCCCTTTAGAAGCGTATTGATCTCTCGCAGCGATGTTATGGGAAAGCCTTCCTTTTCCTTTTCCATTTTCAGACGCTTCAAGGCGACTATTTCGTTGGTACGTTTGTCTTTGGCGCGATAGACGACGCCGTAGGTGCCCTCCTCGATGCGATTGAGGCATTGAAACTCTTCTACCGAACGGCAGCCCTGTACGCCCGGATAATAATTAGGCAGTGGCACACCTTTGTCATCACATGGCGGCAAATCCTCAACAGGTGCCGCCTTTGTCAACTTCTCTGTAGTGCTGGACTCATTGTTGTCCAGCTGATGCGGTTGTTGCTGCTGCTGCTGCTGTGCCATACCACGCTCCTCGCTGCGCGTGCTACTGCTGCGTGAACGTTGCCGCCCCTCCGCGCTACTGGCCGGCGATCGGGAACGGGAGCGACTGCGACTACTGTGACTGTGACTGCTGTGACGACTTTTGCTGCTGGCTGCACTGCTATGACTATGCGCCGAGCTCTTGGAGCTGGCGGAGCGTGAACGAGGTCTTTGCTTCGGCGATTTGTAAAGAGCGCCCACACTCAGTGGACTATCAGGCAGTGGTACATCGTCATCATCATCCGGTTGGGTTTTTTTTCTCTTGTTTTTCTTGTGCGGCTGCTGTTCGTAGCTGCTCTCGGCACTTTCTTCTGAATCGCTGCCACTTTCATCGCTGCCACTATCTTCGCCTTCATCATCCTCATCGGAGTCACTTTCGTCGCTCTCTTCGCTGCCTTCTTCGGTTGGCTTCGTTTGACGTTTGTTCTCCTCGCCTGCCTGATGTTTGCTGCGCTTTCTATGCTCGTAATGAGCTTCTTCCAATTTCATTTTTTGCTTGCGCTTGACAGGATTAAGCCCGGCAGTAACACTGGCCGCCACAGCACTGGGACTAAGTGCATCGCTGTGCTCGTTGCGTTCACGTAGCAGTTGCTCCCGACGCGCTTCCAGCTCCTCGCGTGCGATTTGCTTACGCTTGCGATTTTCACGTTCGGCAGCCAAAATTTTCTCACGTCGTGCCAGCAGCTCTGGATCAGTGGAAACTGTGCGATGTTGTTGCACCGAATCGGCGACATCCTGGACTTCAGCACGTCTTTGTTGTTTGCTCCGATGATGTGGCTGCGGCACTGCTCCTGATTCGGGACTGTCCAGCAGCTCAATGACTTGACCGTGACGCAGCTTGTGACTGTGGCTGCTGTGCCGGGATTCTCGATCCTTGCGGCGACCATGTGAATGTTGTTGCTGTTCATAGTTCTCCTCTAGCTCATAGTCTTTCACATATTTGTGGCGCTTGCTGAGCAGCCGCGAGCGCAGATCCTGCTCCAAGCTCTCCGCATCTTTCGGCTGCTCGTAACCATGTTTGCTAGCACGACGTTGTGGCGGCGGCGGCAGCAATTGCTGTTCCACATCCACATAATCAACGTGTCTGCTGCTGTGGTAATATTCAGCACGTGCCCCAGCACGGGATAAGCTCATTAGCTGCTGCTGCTGGTGATGATGATGATGATGATGGACATAGCTCTGGGGAGGCGGCGGCAAGGGCAGCTGTTGCTGATATTGATAGGCATGGCTCAAATGATGCTTAGCCCGCTCGCTGCGATGCTGTTGATGGTGCTGATGATAACGCTGCTCTAAATCCTCTCGAGCTCCTCGATACTCGTAACGCTCCCTTTCACGTTCTCGCTCACGTTCGCGCTCGCGCTCCTCCAAGCTGTTTCGTTCCTTGTGGCGACGATCGCGTGAATGTTTCTTCTTTTCACGCCGCGAGCTGGCAGCATCTCGTCCTTGACTGCTTACAGCCTGTGGGGGTTGTATATAAAGAGCATCTGCATCGTGATCATCTTCGCCGCTAAAAGAAAAAAGACAGAAAGCATTTTACACAAACTTTGACGCCAATTGCAAAAAGTGTTGAAATTTTCGTAGTTTCCCGAAAGTGTGCGACCAGTTTCTGAATTGAAGGTGCCACGAGGCGCGCTCTGGCTTTGTTTCTTGTTGTCACTCTAGTTGTTGTTAACTGATGAGGTTGCAGTGCTTTGCTAGTCGTTGATTACATTTTACGTTGCCCGTCAGCTTCAAATCTCAAGGCCCCAATTATGGAAGAGCGTATTACTGCTTGAATATTGGGTGGAAATTGACAATAATCAAAGAAAAACAATAAACAACTTGCGGTGTAGTACATTAGCAAATAATACGAAGTTGTAGATGTGCATTAGTTGTATATATATACAGTGGAATCCTTGAATAATACTCATATTACAGATCTTACCTAAGAAACCTAAATAATTATTCAACAAATATAGTGTGGAACATCTTATTGAACATTTAAAAGTTAAGGAATATAGAGCAAGAACATTAAATGCATACTGCAGACATGTGAAATATATGTAGGTATAAATCGACATTATGAGTGATGCTAATAATAATAATAATGGCTAATAATACACTGTCTACTGATGAAATTATAATGCTAAAAGCACAGTGAAGTTTCTGATTTAAGAATATATTTGAATATCGTCCAAGTTTCATTGAAGTGGCTTAAGAATTCAAACCTTTTAACCATTTACTATATCCTCCATGAGTGGGTAAAGAGTTGAAGAAAGTAACATAATTCATATTAAATATTACATAATTACGAGTTATTCAAGATTCCACTGTCTTATGTACTTACCTGTCCAGCCAACCCCATTTGAATATTGGCAATTAGTTAACAAACAATTCCTTTGAGGCATTGAGTTGAATTTCCGATGGGCTGTAAAATGTAAACTTACGACTGCAAACTCTGCTAGAAATATACTTATATATATTTTTTTTTGGAAATGCGTGGGACAAAAGACAAAGATTTAGAGATCTATATATGTATAATAATGCGTATATAGATAACAGGACTTGGAAAGGCATTAGCATTGTTATTGAACAGAAAGTTGTATTCGATTTACCGCCAGACTTTAAGATCTTCACTCTCTCTCTCTCTGTCTTTGTGTCATTTAAAGGCTTTTGCTTGAGTCATTTCATATTGTGTTTGAGAAGGTGGCCGTATCCTGGGCCTGCTGTTCGCTGTGGATTTGCCATTTTACACACTTGAGCTGCTGGGCACACTTTAAATTTGAATTTCATTTCTTGCGTTCAGCTTTTATAATTATTTTGTATTTTTTGTATTTATATTGGTTTTTTATTTTAAGTTTAGTTTTAGTTGTTGGCCATCGCGCGCCTCGGTCATTTTGGGACAAGTACACACTTTTTGGCCTATTTGCAACGAAAAAACTCAAGTCAATTAAAAGGTACATAGGCAAAAATATGGTAATGTTGTCAATAAATTGGATTTTTTTTGGTTGTTATTATTTAACATTTGGTAGGCAGTATACGGGATGCAAATATGTACATTATATACTGTACATATAATAAGCAAGCGAAAAAAGGGATATGTCGGTGAGAGAAGGTTCACGATTGAGTGATCTACAGGTGTTGCGAACTGCGCTGTTTTTGTTTTCTGTATCTCCGTGCGTTTGTGACGTCAGAGCTTACAAGCTCAGCATAACATAAATTCTTTTTTGAGGTACATATTTGGTATCAAGTGTAAAAATTTTCTTTGTTTTGTTCGCACGCAGATAAACGGACTTGCACAATACGCCACCTCTTGATCAGTTAACCGTGGGGAGTTTTTTGGATGATTGTTATGTTTTACAGTTTCTCATTTTTTTGTTGTTCGTAAATAAACATCAGAAAATAACGCTTTCAAATAGAAAAATGGTTTAGTTGCCGCACTTAATACACAGCAGCTCCCACACACACACACATACACACACAGCAACACGCGCGCATGCATGTGAATGTATTCGTGTTTTGCGTGCGTGCGTGTGTGTATGCAGCAACAATTTGATGTGCTTTTCAATATATGTATACATATACATATGTATATTATGTATAAATTTTACACACCTGATATAGTGTCCATCGTTGGGGCTGCGCAGCTGACCATCTTCACTACCAGATGTATTAACCATATTGCGTTTTGATTTGCGTGTAGATATTAATTAGAAGACGCTGCGCCTTTGCCTCCGATTATAGATGCTGATTCACCAGCAAATTTCTCGCAGCCTATATGCAATCTTCTTGCACGCTTTATGCCAAAATGATTGGCGTGCACTTTCTGTACATTTATATGACCTTCAGCTCAGATTTCGGTGGAATTGTACAAGTTTTTTTTATTAAAAATGATTACAAACGTTTGCAATAGCACAAACGTTTTTTCACGCAGTCGGCCAGGGCTGCATAAGACAGGAAAAAATGGCGTCTGCTAGACGTTGCCACACTGTTTGAAAGTTAACATCCAGCTGTTCACTCAGCTGACTACGTTTAAGCAAATAGTTTTTCGGAATATTATTTTTGAATTGACTACAAAAAAAATTGTTAAATAATATAGTTATGTATTTGTCAGTGCGATTAAGAAAACTGCAGCCAGGTGCTCGCACTGTATATCGCTGTTTAAGTACATTACCTAACCACAAGTCTGAGGATGACGTGAGTGCAACTGTCAAAAGAGTTCGCCAGGAGCTCGCTCTAGATAAACAACAACTCAGTTGGAGAACTCCAATTGGAGATCGCCCGGAGGATTGGAATAGCAAGTTGAAACTTTTCGCTAACACGGAGCAAACTTCAGATTTTATTGTCATGATGCAGCGGCCTATCGATCTGAGCCCGAAGAACGTAAAGAAATGGTGGACAAAACGACAGGAACGCATCGAACGACATATGCAACAATTTGTGCCCGAACGTCATAAAATTCTCGGCCCCGAGTTGGCAGCGGCACATTTTGTACTTTATAGAGGGGGTGCAGCCAAGTTCTTGAATGACAAGCGATGGCATCGTGCCTCAGAGGATGGCGAATTCAATTTGCCAAATAAATTTGATGCTAGTTATAAACTCGAGGCTCTACGCTGCGATAACATGCAGTTGTACTACGAGGGATTAGAGAATCTACGCTGCTTGGAGCATCTTAAATTCCTATCCTTCCACAACGTAAAGCCAATCGATGACTGGTGTTTGGATCGAATTTCCGGTGGCGACTACCCACACCTGGAGGTACTGGATATATCCAATACTTCGATTACGAGTAGAGGATTAACCTGCCTCTATCGCTTGCCTCAGCTGAAGCTTCTCATTATCGATGATCCCAAGCAATCACTCGAAATGGAATTATCGGTTGCCATGCTGGAGCTCGCGATGCCGCCATTGAAAGTCGTGTCCGCTGACAGTATACATGGCAACATTTAACTTTGTTAAAATATACATTTTATCATTTGTTATTTATATATCACAATTTTGGTTTGCTTTTCATGTAATCAGCCTTTATATCCGCTCGCTCTTCCACTGGAGGTAAATAGGGTACGATTCCTTGAGCTCTGCGGTCGGCGCGTATTTTGTTCTAAAGAGAATCTCATTAGTTCCAGCTGCTCAAGATATGACCTGATTTCACGACTTACCCAAAACTCTTTACAATTATTGTAATTAACGAAGTAGACTTCGCATTTATCCCGGTCAAAATTGTTTTTATTTAGGCATTTGAATGACAGTTCCTGCTCCTGTAATTATAATTGTTTATATATGCTTATACCACTTTACCAGTTTACCTTTAAACAGGGATTATCGCGCTCAGCATTGAGATTGCGCGGCATGTTTTAATTGATTTTGATAGTATTATATAAATATAAATTTGTTTTTCTGGCCGGTTGACAGCCACAAACTAGTTCCCCAAAAATAATTCGGACTACGTACAGTGGAACTGAGCTACCGAGTACTGTTCATTTAGTTTTATAATCAAGTAATTTTAGTAATGTTCACAACATTGCTGATTTATATCAATGGCTTAATGAAGTTATATATTTCTAAGCGGCATTAAATAATTTGAAAAGTTGAAAAGTCCGTGATCGTCACACTGTTAGTAAATAATTTTAACGATATTCAGCTATTGCAGCCCTAGTCGCTGTTAATAACATTTCATTTACATTTTACTGTGCCTGGCAACTCTTTGCATAGTTTCACTCGCTTATGGTGACAACACTTAAAGCCAGTCTTGCTACACTTTTTTCGATGAGCACACGCTTTGTTTTTTTGCGCGGAGTTTTGAATACAATTAATGTTAAATAATTAATGAATACTCAAAATGAGTGCGATATCGAAATAAACTACCATAACGATAGAAAACAATTGAAAAAATCGAAGCAAATATCAGTGTTTGTGTGCGGTATAGATGAATGTGTGTGTGAGTGTTGTGTGTTTGAGTTTGTTTGTGTGTGTCGAGTGAGTGCGTTATAAATAAAACGCCAAGAAGCTGCGTGCAAAAAGTAGACGCCAAGAAAAATAAAGAATGTGCCCAAACAACAGTGCAAGAAAAGAAACTGTTTTTATGCTAAATTTCGTTGTATTTTTAATACATTTCTAATTAATTTTTTTAATAAAGTAACGAAAGGCGAAAGTGCATTTTTACATGTAACGCTGCAAAAGGTGAATATCGCGAGGGAAAATCATTTGCATTCTGCGACGACGAAACCAACGAATGAGGCTGTCAAAGCGTAATTGTAAAATTCCACTGTCTGGCACAGGCAACAGTCGCGGTCGACGTCGCAGTCTGCGTTACACACACACATGCATGCATGCATATGTGTATATAAATGTGTGTTTCTATATAAAGAAAACATGAAGTTTTCTAAGGAAAATGTGTGCAAAAAATATGTATTAATATAATGTGTATGTGTATTATTTTGTGCAGCTAAATTTACAAATAAACATTTCTGAAACTTCGACCTGTAGACTTTATTTGGATTAAAGGAGAGGAGTGTTCAACTTGCAACACGCTGTGTAATGGATGCAACATCAATAATAACACAAGTTTCCCGCGATGATGAACAATTGAATGTCTATCCAAGCGACAAAGGAGGTAAGAGATAACAACTTTACAACTATACGCAAACACACACACGCTTAAACTATAAAAGTATGAGAGTCCAATGAGTCATGCGACAGCCCAAACGGCGTCACAACAAAGACGAAATAAAAATACTTAAAGGACAAGTGGCCACCCTTCTGACCTTAGCAATTATTGAAGCTCCCACCCCAAACCAGCTTACTTCGATAGCTATTATATTGCTCTCACTCTCTCGCACACAGAACGTTCGTGTGCAAGTGTGCCTGTTTGTTTGTATGTTTGTGCGCAGCTGTTTTCTTGCCTATTGTGAATGATCTAACCACTTGCTAGCTTCTGACGTCGCAACTTGCAACTCTCAAAGCGCCACCTGTAATCAACTGTGACGTCATACATTTACCAAGTGCACGCGAACAGCAACAATCAGCGGCAGAACAAATTGCAAATTGCGATACATTAACTGCCTTTGCATGTCCTACCAATCGTGATGGTGGTAAAGAGAGACAGAGTGAGAGGATAACAGAAAAACAATTGAAACCGCAATTAAATTGCACACTATTCGCAATAAAGATAAGAAGTGCGAGAGGAAGAGGGCGAAACCGGTATTGGCTAGTTTTCGTGAAAACAAACAAACAAAGCAACAGACGATTAACAAAGCGTAGCTTACAAAAAAAAAAGCTTGAATGAAAACTGCAGAGAGCGCGTTTTTGTCTAGAGAAAGAGAGCGAAAAGTAAAAAAAAAAGTTGCATACTCGCACATATGAATGTATGCATATATGTTTGCTTTCAGTTATATATAAGCGTCCGTATGTATGTGTACTTATACGTATATAAGCTCGAACATGTGTGTGTGTATGTGTAAGTGTGCTTTTATATTACTTTTTATTTCTGCTGCAACGGCAGAGCAGCGCACAAAGTTCGAGGCGGGGCCCCGGCGAGACGAGTCAAGACGTGCGCCTTAAAGTAACAACAAAATTTAATCTAATCTGCGGTCGCAAAAAAACAGACGACAACTATGCTTTACACAGTATATAAATATATGTATATATATAAATATATACATATTTATATTGATATATATTTATATATGTGTATATAAGACACATACATTTATGTATGTGTATAACATGTTGCGGTTAGGTGCTAATTGACATCTCTCGTTTCTTGCTTAATAAGTTAGCTCGTTTTGTTTTTGAGTCGTTTTTGACAGTGCTGCCAAGTCAGCTTAAACTGAAACTCAAATATTTATCATTAATGGAACACACTTCCGTGTGCATATACAGATATGTTGTGTGTTTGTGTGTGTGTATCGTAGGCCTTTTCTTCACTCTTTCGACTTGTTGAGCTTTGTGACAATAAGAGATACGGCGACGTCATCAATGCTACACAGCTGTCTCTGAGTACGTTTCTGCTACGTTTCTTGTTATTTGGCTTGTGTGGGTGTGAGAAGAGTGCAGAGCATTAGAACCGGCAACAGATGAAATAAGTTGTTGCTTTTTTTGTTCTTATTTTTTTATACTTTTTTGTTAGTGTGGGTGCCGCCTAAGTGCTTAAATATTTATATAAATACACACACACACATACAGACATGTGTACAAATATATATATATATATTTCGTTTTTATGGGCAAACACTCTAGTATCTCATTTCTCGCTGTAGCTCTGGGATTGTCTGTGATTTTCAATTTCCCAAGGTCTTCCAAGCAAATGACTTACGCACGTGCACACACATACACGCATATACACCTTCATACAGCAGCAAAAGCTTATTTTGCCCTTTCGAAATTAAATAAATCATTCCTATTATATATATATATAACATGTTTGTCAAGGCAAAGGTGTTAATACAAAGTTAACAAAACGTATATTTTTAATTAAATTTTTAATAGATAACGAATAATTATTATAATTAAGCTATTGCGAATTTTATATTATATTTCTACATTAACGCAAATATTTCGTATGCCTTCTCTTGAACGTGTGTATGTGTGTGTGAGATAGGGAGAGCGTGCGAGAGGCAGAGCTTGAGTGTGCAATGGAATTATGGGTAGCACTGTTTGCAATATCTGGCTTAATAGTTAGGCCAAACAACTGTTTATGTAAACAAAGCAATGAATTGCTAACAGTTGTGCCCAGCAAAAAGTCAACAATTAAATATTTAGTTGACTATTAAAAAAAAACAGTAAAAATAAAATAAAAATGAACAGATCAACACTGCACTGAAGTTTCGACACTCTTAAAATATGAGTGCAAATAGTGCTATAAAAATAATATTTATATTTTACTGTATCATAAATTAGAGATGGAGCTTGATAAAGAGGCAAAATTTTGGGACTAATATCAGGAAATAATATCAAATTAATATAAATAATAAAGTATATATATATTAAGTTAATATAAATCAAAATAATAATATAAAAAAATTAAATATTAAATTAATATAATTAAAATAAAATAATATAAAACAAATATAAATACAAAAAATTAAATAATATTCAAAATATATAAAAACATGACAAATTTTAAATAATATTATTTTAATTGTTTAATAATATTAAATCGATTTCATATAAATTGTAAAACACTTTAATAGGTAGCAAAAAAAATATATATATACATTCGCATACATTTTTTTTCAATGCAAAGTGCAAACTAATTAGTAAAATATTTTCGCTGCTTGTTGAGCATTTTCTTTCATTGAAATAAGTTGTATATATATATGTATTGCTATAGTTATTAAAAAGAAATATTATGTATAAACAAATATTTGTACAGATCTTGGATATACATATGTGCATACATAACTATAGCCATGAGCAGAATATATGCTGTGCAAAAAAAGAAGAGAAATATTTTGATGGCCTCAGTAGCAACACATTTCCTATATAGATACGGGTATCTATCTATATCTATATATACACTTTGATGGATGTATGTATATACAGCTGAAAAAGCAATAATTAATTTATTTTTGGCGCTTTGGCTAGATCCATTCAACAGCCGAATAAAAGAAACTGTAGTGGAATACTATCTAGTTAAAGGGGAGTGGCGGAGAGGCGGTAAGGGGGCAGGCTGTGGTTCATTGACCTTTTGCGTGGGGGGATTTGTTAATTCCAACCCCCAAAAAGCCGACATCTTTGTGTGCAAATGCAACAAAAGGGTCGCCAGCATGCAGCTTCCCCTGAGAGTCGACCTCCAAGCTGACCGCCCGCTCTCTCGCGTATTTTATTTGTGACAGGTGTGCAAACATCACGTGCAAAAGTAAAAATGAAAAGAAACTGTTTACAGGTCGCCAACACATTTGCAGCCAAACGAGAAATATGCTGAAGGTCGAGCCGTTCAACATTTAAGGCCAGCGCGAAAAAGAACTGGAAAATGATATCATATGTATGAACAGAAGATAACAAACATTGTGAACGCGATTAGATAAGGCGCACAAATGTTTAAAGTTGGGGCGTGCTCGCTGCCCCTCTCTCTCCATCTCTCTCTCTGTAGCTGTTATATGACTTTAATTCATTTTTGCTTTTATATTTGACTTTAAATTAATTATCAAAATACACACTTGCCCCACACATATCTCTATATCTCTATGTTCATATCTCTCTCTCTATCATATATATAAAATATAATTAATAATGAAGAAAACAAAAGAAAAGCTTGTCATTTTCAGTGTCATTCGGCTTTAAATGCGAAAATATATTTCCCAATTGACGCGTAAGGTCGTTTAACAGTCTGCTGCGGATTTCGGATATCAGATTAACATAAATGAATGCACTCCAAATACTCTGTACAAATTGCATATAGATTAAAACATTAGCATAGCAGAAGCAGATGGAGACATTGGCGAGTATAAAAAACTAAGAGACAAATTGATTTTTTATATAAATCTATAGAGTATCTGTGAGCTGAGC